GGTGTGGCAGAGTGGGTTAATGCGTCAGGCTGCAAAGTCGTTTGAACTCAAGGTCTCGGTGGTTCATTCTCACTAGTTGCTCCTTGGAAACCCTTTACAGGGTCACTATGAGTTGGAATCGACGGCACTTAACAACAACAGTCTTTGTTGTAGAGAGTTTGTGTAGTGTGTCTGTCATCTTGCTGTATGTCCTACCTGGTATTTTTTAAGACTTTGAGTCGTTTTGTTCCACATTTTTTCCTACTCTAATAAAGACCTTCTAATGTGATCCCTTTCAAAACAGTTAAAAGTAGTGGCCAGGAACATTTAGTTCTTCTGGTCTCAGGGCTGTGGAGACTGAGCATGTGGTCCATTAGTCCATTAATTTCCAAGTGTCTTAAATTTCCATTCCTCCTCTTTTGTCTGTATAAGGAGAGACCAATAGTTGTACCTTAGACAGCTGCTCATGAGCTTTTAAGATCGGGGCTCTAGTCACCAAAGTAGGATGTAAAACATGGTCTTTGTGGACTGTGTTATGCTAATTGACCCTACTGTCCAAAGACTATGGTCCTGAGTCCCCAGGGCTAGCAATTCATTTCTTCAAGGAATTCATTTCCTCCGACAGCTTTTTGAGATATTTTGTCTAGATTTTCTGCTCTCAATGGGATGGTCAGTACAAATCACCTCTTCACCACTACCAGGGCCAGAAGTCCTTCAAGAGTATGTCAGAGGTACCTGAGTACAGTAGTCTCAAATACATGGTGGTTGTTAGTTACCCTTGAGTTGATCCTATGCACAACATAATGAAATACTGCCTGGTCCTACGTCATCCTCACAATTGTTACGCTTGAGTCCATTGCTGCTGCTACTGTACCAATAATCGATCTCATTTGGGTGCCTTTGTCTTTTTCACTGACCTTCCACTTTACCAAGCATGATGTCCTTTTCCAGAGGCTGGTCTATCCTGGTAATATGTTCTAAGATAAGATGATACTTACCATCCTTGCTTCCAAGGAGCAAGCTGGCTGTACTTCTTCCAACACAGATTTGTTTGTTCTTGACAGTCCATGGTACTTTCAATATTCTAGTCCAACACCATGATTCAAATGCATCAACTCCTCTATGGTTTTCCTTATTTATTGTCTTAACTTTCACATGTACATGAAGTGACTGACAATATGTACCATGGTTTGGATCATATGTATTTTAGTCCTCAAACTGATTCTCTTTGCTTTGGAACACTTTAAAGAGGTTTTGTGCAGCAAATTTGCCTAGTGTACTAATACACTATTTGATTTTTTGACTGCTGCTGTTATGAGTGTAAAATGTTGTAAAGAAGTTTATGAAGCCTTTTTACCAGGACTGAATGATTGAGTTAAAATTAAGTTTTTACTGAATTAAACTGGCCTTTTTACACATCTGCCTAAAACTTTGTATTGCCTACCTGCATTCAGTTTTCTCTGGCACCCACCACTTTACTATTAATGGCTATGAAAACTAAAGAAGTTAGTTTAGAACAAAAAACTAAAGGAGTTAATTTAGAACAAAGCTTCTCTTTGTGGTCAAGCCAGGATGTGAAAGAAACACATTCTACTGAAGGGAATCCTGCCATAGATGTCTTTTTGTGGAAAGTGGACCTAAGAAATATTTAAAGGGTTTTGGAGCCAGTCTTATCTAACAAACCCAGATGGCTTAAAAGGATTGTTTTAACAAGCAGTTCTTGGGAAAGCAGGTACTGGTACTAGAATTGTTATTTTTAAGTTTCATTGTGTTGGTTCTCATTCATAACAACCTGTAGTGGGTTTCCACGGAGCGGCTGGTGAGGATGAACCACCAACTTTGTGGTTCAAAATGACCTTGTGGTGCATGCTTATCCTATACTGCCACACATGAATTCCTAATACATCTGGTTAGTTGTTTCACATCAACCAATGATGTTTTTATGACCCCTCCTCAAGAATACATAACTATGATTGAAAACCTATGTAATAGTCCCTGAAATCAACCACTGTAAGCATCTGTACCCAATTATCCAATAGAAGCACATGACCAATCCTTGTTACCTCAACCAAGAACAATCAAACAATTGTATTATAATTTATTTGTTCTTTGGACTGTGTCTGTTTTTGCTAAAATATATTTCATTAGTCATCAGTTCTACCTCATGTGGGCTGAGGTCTCTGCATTTGAATGTACTTACATTTGAATGTACATTGATGGCGTCAAGTGTGGCAGTGGTAGTGAGGTTGGCCCAGGATCTGACGTTGTTTCGTTCTGCTGTGCATGGGGTCGCTATGAGTCGGTTCCAACTCGATGGCACCTGAGAACAACAACATTTTTTTTGCTGGAACAAATCCTCCTAATTTCATGTTAAGAACTGAGTGGGTTTTCCCTACAATAATGTCATTACACCACTGTCCATCTTTGCTGCTTTTAAAAACAAACAAAAACCAATTTAGTAGAAATAATTAGGTTTTGGCAAATCAATTGCTCTCCCCAAAAGGAACAACCATTTTTTTTAAATACAGCAAGCATGTTACCTCCATCTACTTACGGTGCACAGCAGTTAACTGATTGACAAATATTTATTTGAGAGCCTATTATGTGGGAGAAGAATGAAGAGATGAGCACTGGGATCAGTTAATTAGTTGACAGACTTCAAAACCCTAAGGTTCAGGTTTTGGCTCTCCTCTACTTTTTCTAATTACATACTCTTCCTAAGAATATACAGGAATCTAATTGCACTGTTTAAATGTTTTTATTTCTTTCAGAACAGACTGACACGGAAGAATAGCAACTCGATAGTTCTGGCTTCTGGGCAACAATATTTGACATTTCTCAAAAACAAATATAAATGACCAACAAGGATATACAATTTTCATTACAAATAAAATAAATGCAAATTAAAATAATGAGATTTTTTTTCTATTAAACAGATAAAATATTTTTATGATAATAAATACCCAGTGTTAGTAAGGATTCAGGGAAAGGAGTGTTCTTTCACACTTCTGGAGGAGAGTAAATTAGCACAGCTTTTTGGGAGTAATCTGTCAATACAGAAGTTTTGAAAACTTACATCCTCTGAAATTCCACTTCTAATAATGAATGCTAAGAAAATAAAGAATGTATACACAGATTTAACTACAAGGCTGTATACCAATGTTTATAAGAGTAAGAAAGTGGAGACAACCTAATAGTGGACTGGATAAATTAATTATAGTGCAGCAATACCATGACATACTAAAAACAAACAGTGATGTACACAGGGAGCTATCTACTGACATGAGATGATGTTCACCCTATTTTGTAAAATGAAAATAAAGCAAGTTATAAAAGAGTGCAGTATGATGTAATAATTGTTTAAAAACTGTGTTGTTGCTGTTGCCATCAAATCAGCTCCTTTTCATGGCAACCTTATGTATAACAGGACAAAATACTGCCTGTTCCAACCCATCCTCACAATTGTTGGTATCGCCAAGTCCACATCTGTATACATATAGAAAAAATTGAGGGTGCATATCCCGTTACCACCAGCAATGTCTGATTTTTACAAAAGATTTTCTACCCGTTTTTAAATTTACTGCAATGAACATTTAAAAAAAGGAAGAAAGAAAAGTTGAAGCCTAATTAGAAAAAAAAAATAAATGCTTTGCCTACATTTGGCTTCTGATGAGAGGGGCTTTCTGCCCCTAGAGGTATCTATTTGGTTTTGTTCCTTCTGACCTGAGTGGATAATTCTCACAGTTAATTTTCTGCAAATGCCATAAATGCACTTAACTATTTGTCTGGAGAGCAGGTTTCTCATTTTTGCTAGGGGTCGTTCAGAATCCCCCTGGGTGATGCAAATGGTTAAATGCTTGACTACTAGTCTCAAACCCAGCCAGAGGCACCATGAAAGGCAAGTCTGGCTATCTTCTTCTGAAAGGTCACAACCTTGAAACCTTTATGGAACAGTTCTACTCTGCAGGCATGGGGTCACCATGAGATGGAACTGACTCAACAGCAACTAACAACAAGGCGGGGACAGGATTATGTCCAAGGCCCTCACTATACTGGGGCCCTTACAATGCATTTGAGAGTGGTGGAAGGAAGAAGCAACCAGAAAACAGATGCAAAGGGATGAACTGACATGGTAATGTCTTTATTTAGTCCCTATTCCAACTCTAGGCCTCTTGACTCGGGGAGAGAGAAAAATGATGGGAGAATCCCTGAAATCTGGTGGTACAGATTCCTTAAAAGATGGTGAGTTGTTTCCAAAAAGAAAAGACAACTGGAAATCATGTTGATTAAGCAAGTTATGATAACAGCAAACTGTTAGAACAATCTCACAGCCATAGGGTGGAGGCATTTGAACGGAACGTTTGTATTCTGGAATGGTGCTGTGATTGCAAGGGAACCAAAATTCTGAGGAACACAGCCTACTAGAGGTTGGGTAAATGATAATCCTATCTGTTCAAGAAGTCTTTCCTAAGCACAAAGAATAAAGTTACCTGTTCAGACGAGACAGATGTATAATGTCATGTGTAATTTGGAGTGCCTGCCATATATGGCTGAAAATCTGATGTTCAGCTTATAGGCAGGCTATAGCAGTGAAAAGTTAATAGGACTTGAAGGGAAGAAGGGCCAAGTTCATCCAAACAATAAAATGTCTCTTAATCAACCTAGAGGATATTCAAACATGGTACGAGAAGTGCACCCAAAGTGCTGTGTTTCTGATTAGTGGTTTAAATACTGTAGATACAAGGTGAGGCATACAACAAAGTTACTCTCAAACATTCATGTGGTTTCTTGAATGAGAGAAAAACATGGTGTTTCAAATATCAGCACATGAGCATCATTTGTCATGTGTCATCTAGAGCAAGTATCAAGGAAGCCCCTGGGTAAAATGGAACCCAAGCAGAGCACCAAGGATGAGAAGAGATTTTTGTCCCCAAACCAGAGGGCAGGGAGATTAGGAAACGTGATGTACAGCAACCAAGCAAGAGGCATGTGCTTGAGGATGAATCCTTTGCATGTTCCAGTGGACCTGCTGGTACTCATAATTAGATACTAGTACAGAGGTGGCCGCAGAACAATTTATACCACTTTAAATGCCAGTTCTTGTGGGGAGTAGTTTTTATAGTTGGGGGTGGAGACTCAGTTACTCATGGGAAACCCGTTCCAAGGCCACATAGAAACTGTTCTTGTCATCTAGGCAGTGCCAGCCGATTGGTCCAATTTCACAGTCTGCGCAGACCAGAAACTTGATGTTGCCCACGTCCTTGGTGAAGCCCACATTCTCAAAGATGAACATGTCATCCACCAGCCAGTGTTCCTGGAGGAGATCACCGTCAGGACTGCTGCCATCAGCCAGCGCTGGCTTCTTCCTCATGGAAGGGAGGAAGAGCTGCAGGGGAAGAGAACATGAAGAACATAAATGCTGCGCCAGTCCAGTAGTATCATTGCCCCATTCTGCTAATACTTTAGGTTTCCAGCAGCTTCCTGGAAATATTAAAAATATTAAATAGATCTTTATCACTGATCTATAGATTAAGATTAGCATTGGACCCCAAAGTCAGCAGTTCAAACTCTGCCAGCTGCTCCTTGGAAACCCTGTACAAGGTTGCTATGAGTCGGAACTGACTCGTCCATGTTTCATAACACAGACTAGGATGCTGGGTGACTCCACTCTGTGTCTGCTTCATGCACTCATTCTTGCTGTTTAATCCCATGCACTTTGTTTTTAGCTTTTTGAGTGCCAGCGAGTTGGTTCCAGCTCACAGCAATTCTGTACAGCGTTTCTGAGGAGCAAATGGTGAATCTGAACTGCCGACCTTGCGGTTCACACCAACCTTGCAGTGCAGTGCTACACCAGCTTAAATCATTTTAATCACGTAAGTTTCTATCTTCTACAGCATTTCTAGAGATCATTTTGATCTGCCTGTTAGTTTGGTTTTTTTAACCTTTTAATTATGAATGCGTGCTCCAGGTGGCTCTGTGGTGACTTGGCTTCATGGCCCAATAGGCCCTACCTGCTCCTAATCCTCCTAGCCCCAGCCATTCTGCTGCAGCTACACTGGCCTTTTCACCCTTCTTCGAATAGTCCGCTCAGGAGGTCTTTCCTCACCAATCTGCAGTGGCTCCATATGATAAGCACAAGGTTGGTGGTTTGAATCCACCAGCCGTTCTGCTGGAGAAAGATGAGGCTTTCTGCTTCCACAAAGATTTACTCTTTACACAGGTGTCGCTTTGAGACAGAACTGACTCAGTGGAACGGTACAACTGTCTGCTGTATTTTGGAAACAGCTTTATTAGGTATAACTGACACAATTTCAGCTATTTTAAGGTATCCATGGATGAAACCATCACCACAACCGAGACAATGAGCACAGTCACCACCCCAAATGTCCCTGTGCCCGCCCCCCACTTATTACATATTAATCCCTCTCTGACAGTTGTATGACTTTCCAACCAACAGGAGAAAAGTAAGCTTCTAGCAAGCACACACAATCCTTTAACTTCTTCCATAGGGCCAATTTATACACTCTTGTTTCCCAAACCAAACCAAAATCACTGCCACCAAGTCAATTCTAATTCCCAGACCCTATAGGACAGGGCAGAACTCTTCCTTAGAGCATTTTGAGGCTGTAAATCTTTATGGCAGTAGACAGCTTCATCTGTCTGGTGGGTTTGAACCCTTGACCTTGTAGTAAGTTCAATGCTTGACCCACTATGCCACGAGTGCTCCTTTTACTTCTCTTACAGGCAATCAGAATGAAACCAAAAAAAACAAACAAAAAAGAACTTATACTAGTTCAAAAAATGTAAATATTTTGGTAGAGTTCAGGTCAGTCTCTCCTCAGTAGGAAACCCAAAATGGCTGCTGCTGCTGTTGTTTAAAGTATGGCTGAGTCAGTTCCGACTCATAGAGACGCTGTAAAGGGTTTCCGAGGAGTGATTGGTGAGTTTAAACTGCTGACCTAGCGGCTCAAACAGACCTTGTGGTCTACGGCATTATCCTGCAGCGCCACACCAGGACTCCAAAAGAGCTGTTAAGTGTGTATAACTACCCTGGAGTCTGTACTTCTGAACCCTGGAACCAGATGTGTAGAGTATTCCTGAGCGGAAGGAGGATGCCCTGATCCAGAACATTTCTACTACTGCCTGTCCTCCACACACTTGACTTACAAGAGAAATCTGTGTGCTGCCCTTCGTTGTGTCACCTGACACATATTTGAGGACATGATGAAATATGACAGTCCTACCTCCAGTCACTCTTTTTGCTTCATCAATCGTGTAAATGTAACTCTAATGCTATCTTCACCCTAAATGAAAATGGAAACAGGCAGAGGCAAAAAGAGTAGGGATTTAAATTCAGGTACCCAGAAACCTGGAATCTAGTACTGTTTCTTTCTGTGGGCTTCAAATTTCCTGCAAATATTTCTGGCCTGTCCCCTTATATTGTAGGTTCTTTCAGAATTTTATATATGCCATTCCACTGTCTTCTTACCTGCATGGTTTCTGCTGAGAAATCAGAGAAAACTCTTACTAGTTTTTCTTTGCAGATAATGTTCATTTTTTCTGAGCAGCTCTCAGTATTCTTTCCTTGTTTTTGGTTTGAAAAGTCTGAAGATGGTGTTTTTCTTTTGAAGTCTATCCTGTTTAGAGTTCATTCAATTTCTTGAATGGCTACCTTCTTGTCTTGATGTTAGGGAAGTTTTCTTTGGGAAATATTCTTTATGGTTTTTTTGTCTCATCCTGTTATGGTATTCCTATCATATGTTAGTTATTCACTTGAGGTATTTTTGTAAGCACAGCTATGCTAATTTTTTTACACGTAAAAAATACGTAGCACAATTACGGAACTGGGCAGGGGGAGGTGGGTTGGCACGCAAATCTAGAAGATGCGTCTTATTTGTGTAAAACTATGGTATACCTATAAGGAACTCTAGTAGCATAGTGGTTATGAAACGGCCTGCTAACCTCAGGGTCAATAGTTCAAAACTACCAGCTGTTCCAAGGGAGACAGCTGAGGCTTTCTGCTCCCATAAAGATCTTCAGCCTTGGAAACCCTGTACGGGGTCGCTATGAGTTGGAACTCACTCCAAGGAACATAATCACCACCACCATGGTATACTGTATACCTTTCATTGCAATGCCAAGCATCAGTGATAATGATGTAGTGTAGTAGGGATACAATGAGGCTTTTTGGATAGAACATTGGGGTGGACCTCAAAAAGTCAGTATCTTATTAGAGGCAACTAACTCAATTCCTTGGGGGCCAAAGTTGCCAGTTAGATTTGTAAGCAGGTGTGTTAAGCTTGCTTGGTTTAGAACCCTAGCTAATATCCCTTGTCCTGAACAACTTCCTTAGACAATTTCAGTGAGATTCTATTGATCCCCTTTGCTTCTTAAAGATGTTAACAGTGTCATTTAAAAAATAACATATCTTCTTTCTCATTGTAAAAATATATTCTCATTATGAAAAACTTGGTAAGCATACTATAATAGAGATAAGAATAGAAACTGTTACAACAGAGAAAAGTTCTATTAACATTTTTGTAATTTTGCCTCTTCTGTGAGTAACTAATGATTTTAAAAGATGTCCATAAATTCTCTTGTCAATCCTTTCATACAGATTTGGAATTTAGGCTCCTCCCATTGAACCAATAAACAACATTCTTATCAATGGAGGAAAGATTGAAGTTGTCAAGGACTTCATTCTTCTTGGATCAACTATCAACACTCGCGGAAGCAACAGTC